TGTGGGTGGGGGGGGGGGGGGGAGGTAGTAGAATCGTAAAATATGCATTCGTTGGAGCAATCTCATTTTTCAAATGTTCTTGAAGTTTTTTTTTCTTCCCCAAATTGCCTGTAACTTACTTGCGTCATACTTATTTAGTGCTACACACCACGCATGAATGATGAATTCAGTGCTACACATCACGCATGGATTTAGTGCTACCGTAAACACCACGCATGCATTCTTAAACACGAATGGAACAAATGGTTCTTTCTGCTTCTTTATAAGCAAGAGTATGACGTCACACCGAGGCAAAGTGCAAGCACACAGATGGCCGCTGGCTTACCGTTCTCTTTGGCTCAAAAGTCAGACAGTTTTAATCTGTTTGGCTGCTTTCCCTGCGAAACTAAATTTCCGTGCCTCAGCTTGGTATGTTGGTTGACGTTGAGTAACCATAGGGCTGTATATATATGTATATATAAATATATAAAGGCCTATATTGTGCAGACCCCAACTTCCTTTTTAAACTGGACGTAACTAGTGGGGCCGTTAAAAGTGAGGGGAGGGGTTTTGTAAAAAATAATTCCATCTAAGTTCTGAGCCATTTCTAATTTAACACCAAAAAAATGTTAAAGGAAAAAAAAATTGAAAAGCCGTGTTTAAGCCACCAGCGTCACCTGCAACAGTTGTGATCCTAGTGCTAAATTTGTTGACAGGCTTGAGCAACAGTTGTGATCCTAGTGCTAAATTTGTTGACAGGCTTGAGCAACAGTTGTGATCCTAGTGCTAAATTTGTTGACAGGCTTGAGCAACAGTTGTGATCCTAGTGCTAAATTTGTTGACAGGCTTGAGCAACAGTTGTGATCCTAGTGCTAAATTTGTTGACAGGCTTGAGCAACAGTTGTGATCCTAGTGCTAAATTTGTTGACAGGCTTGAGCAACAGTTGTGATCCTAGTGCTAAATTTGTTGACAGGCTTGAGCAACAGTTGTGATCCTAGTGCTAAATTTGTTGACAGGCTTGAGCAACAGTTCGAAATGCAAAGCATCATTCTTCTTTTTTTAATGGCTTGACCACTTACACCGGCCACACATAATGGACAAAGACTCTCTACTCATTACAAATAATCCTTTATTTACCTGTCATGTTGTCTTGGTCAGTTTTAAAAAAAAAAAAGTTTGTGCCGCAATTTGCAATCATTTCTGTTTAGAAAGCCGAAGTGTTGAAAGCTCAAAATAGATTTTGCCGCTAACTCTGATCCGGGTTCTAGTACAAAACTTTTGTGAGCTGTTTCATTTGAGATTTTGATTTAACCACCCCGGAAAAGAGACTTTTAGACTGCAGATCTATTACAATTACTGTACATCAATGATTTCAGAAAAACAAAAAAATATTACACACCAAACGCACGTGTCATAGTTTTAAGAGTCTCATCTAGCACAGTTATCTGGAATTTTATTGAATGAAATCAGTGGCATCATGTGTCATTCATCTTACACTTGAAGAACTGAGTTTTGGGGGGGTTAAGGCTGTCCACTTGATAGAATGTTCAAATGTGCCTAGTTTCAGCTTGATAGGTTGATGGGAAGTGGGTCACTTGGCCTTTTGATAATTTTGCCGTACACCCAGCCAGAAAGAAACACAGGAACAAAGTTAATATAAATATAAAGGGTTTTAAAAAATATACGTACATATAGCAAAACAAAATTTAAAATAAGGCAGTGCAGCTCTAACTCTAAATGTTCGGTAAATTTTCTAAATGTTTTACCTAAGTTCAGAACAAATGTTAAAGCCATTTTGATTCCCACATTAGGAGGCTGCATAAATCTAACTGAAATGCCTAAAAACACCGGTAGTTATTTTTATTTTATAATTTATATAAATCGAATAAATTATTCTAAATAAAACTTAGACTAGGACCCATCGTTTTTATGGACTAGGAAAAAGGCCTGGAGCCACAAACCTTCCGGAAACTTCTCCAGCATTATGTGGTACCGTACCAGGAAAACTGGTGTGGATTATTCTGAGTTCTTATGAAGAAATGAAATGCAGGGTGGTACAAGAAGGTAGACTCACAGATGGCATTATACATGGCTCAAATCAGATAAATTTGATGTAATCAAATCTGCCAAACTCACACTTGTTGTATGCATGGCTCAAAGCAGATATATTTGATGCCATTAAATCTGTCAAACTCCCACTCTTAGTATACGGTACATGGCTCAAAGCAAATCTGCCAACATCACACTCATAGTGACTACGTGGCTCAAACTCCAGGTGGATATAGTTGATGTGTTTTGTGTTTTACCTGATCAAACCTGTACTGTTCATTTAAAAACTAATGTATACCAAACCATGGCAGTTAATTCAACCTGTTGTCATATATTACTACTTATTGATTAATATATTTTTTCCTTTAGTCTTAAACTTTAAAAAACTTTGGTTTGTCACATTCTGGCAATGTTCACACATAATGAACAATATGACATCCCGATTGTTGGCAATCATATAGCACACCCTCCCAAATGGCTAAATCCAGACACTCTAGTTTTTTAAATCTATTTTCTATTTCTTTCTTGTGTTGTTTTGTTCTGTGTTTTCATTTTAAGCTTCAACATACCTTGTTCCCCTATTTAAATATAGGTGCCTTCCATTTAAAACATATTTTTCCCCCAATGTTACTGCTTGCTAAAAAATGCACATTCTCAAAGACGTTTCCTTTACTTTGTGGGCATCCAGCAATTTTAATTTTAAACATAAGACTAGTCAACATTAGAGAAATTGAAATACAACAACACAAGACAATAAAAAGTAATTCAACCCCATTTAACTTTAGATATGAAAGATCTATATTGATGACAAAAAAAAATAAATATTTACAAATAATTCATGAAAAATATCAAATCCCGTACCGGTAGCGGAAACAAAAAAAATTGTATTTGAAATTCATGCTCCTTATGTAAGGCCAATAATTATAATATTTGTATAAATGCATATCTGAACAAGTCCAATAATGAAAGCTGTCCAATACAAGTCTTAGTCTGACTTCTTAAATGCGACTGCTGCTTTAACAGAGTGGATTGATGTGGAGAATGACTTGAGTTTGACTTCTTCCGAGTTAATGATGAGATGTGGCCCGGTCTCGCCCCATTGTTCTGGCACATCGAGATCCTTGTCAGTGTACACCAAAATATTGAAGCTGCCTGTAGAAAAAGAAATGAAAGATTAAAACATTTTCAATGTTAGTTATTTTGAATGCAACAGGATTAGAAAGGGAGGGAACCAATAGATTTTTAAAAATGTCTTAACATTGTTAATAACAGTTCCATAAAAAACAAAACTTACAAGTAAATTATGTTGTTAGTTTTATGAGGTTAAAGTTCACTACTTAATATATATTAAACATAAAAAAAACAAAAAAACAAACAAATAATATAATTTATAAAAGCCTGGTAGAAATTTGTCAATACACTACTTATGAAGTCCCCTACTAGGATTATTTCAACTTGGTTTTTCAATGACTTAAAAAAAAAATATAAATGTTTGATTTCTCATAAATAATTATGTTTTGCAAAGCTTTTTCTGTCTGTCAATATGAATCATTATGCTTATACAATCCTTGACATTGTTTCCCGATGCAACAATCTTTTCTGCAGCCAAAGCTCCAAACGAGACCCCCGCCCCCCCCATTCAGAAAATGGAACTTTAAACCATTTAATTTAACCTTATGGTATTACTAAACAACTATCATGAAAATCATTACACTATCAGGAAAATTTTCATTAAAAAATGCAAATGATTTAATTTAACTCAAGGTATACTGGTTAAGGGGAAATCACTCTATAATCTCTATAAATATAAATGAGAATGTTTCCTATTTAATTTCATATCAACAAGCATGATATAAAAACAGATAGGTGATATCTACATTCTACACTCACATGTTGATTCAAGCAGAGGCAAAAATGTGACAGAGGCTGTGATTTGTCGTATGACTGATCGAATGCCTTCTTTAATATCTTTGTCAGAGACGTCACGTTTCCTGGTAAAAGAAAAAACATAATAAAAACAAGACATCGGAATATTGACATTAATAAACTACCGCCCAATATCCCTGACCTCCATACCATGCAAAATTCTAGAACACATAATCTGTAGCCACATCATGAACCACCTTGAACACTACAACATCTTAACCAACCTAAACCACATTTTCTGCTCTGGATTCCCAACAGAAACTCAATCATCACCTCCAATGACCTCCTATGACAAAGGTAAACAGGTCAATGTGGCCATCCTCAACTTCTCCAAGGCCTTTGACACTGTTCCACACAGCCTTCTACATAAGCTCCACCACTACGGCATTACCGGAAACCTTCACTCCTGGCTCTCAACATTCCTAATACAAAGGACCATGCAGTAGTGGTGGAACGCTTCCGATCAGGCAAAGCCCCTGTAGACTTAGGAATTCCTCAGGGTACAGTGCTTGGCCCCCTTCTCTGTCATATAAACGACCTCCCTGATACTGTAAAATCTCAAGTGAGGCTGTTGGCAGATGACTCTCTTGTCTACAGAGAGATAAATGGCTACGATCACAACAACCACCTCCAAGCGGATTTAAGTGCCTTATGAAATGGGCAGACAAATGGGGCATGAAATTTAACGAAACCAAATGCTACACAATGCTATATAAATAAACAAGACCATACTCCAACAAGTATCAAATAATCCATACCTTGGAATTCTCTTCTCGAATAATCTAAAATGGTCACCCCATATAAGCAAAATTTCAAAAAAAAAAAAAAAAAAAAAGGCAAATCCACACTTGGTTTCAGTCGAATAAATCTGCGCCACTGTCCAACATCCTGCAAACCAAATGCCTATCGCGCACTTGTTCGTCAGCTACTATAAAAATCTAAAATGGTCACCCCAAAAAAACAAAATTTCAAAAAAAAAAAAAAAAAAAAAGGCAAATCCACACTTGGTTTCAGTCGAATAAATCTGCGCCACTGTCCAACATCCTGCAAACCAAATGCCTATCGCGCACTTGTTCGTCAGCTACTAGAATCTGGGACGCATACCTAAAACAAGACATGGACAAGATGGAGCGAATACAACGCACAGCAGAGCGCTCCTGGCAAGTGACCACAAATTCACCACTCCAGGCTTTGTCACTGACCTCTTAAAAAGATGTGACATCCCTTCCCTCCAAGACAGTCGAGAAAAGCTCTGTTTAACATTCGCATATAAAGTGGTCATGGGGCTAGTGCCCGCCATACCAGCTAATACGTATCTCACCCCACAGAAGCCAGGTCGCTTAATCGGAGCCAAACGCTCAATAAACACTGACTTCACCTCTGACAACTCCATGAGCAGTTACATCCGGAACAATAGTAAATGCTTCACTGTGCCTCGGTGTAACACAGTCCAATATAAACAATCATTCTTCCCACGAACAATAATTGCTTGGAACCAACTGGACAATGCTGCCGTTGACTTGACATCAATCAAGAGTTTCAAGGCTGCCCTGTCACCCGCTAGGAGCCGTTAGGATAGCCGCATCATTTCCCAAACCGTTGCATGGTTGCAGCAACTTAGTCAATCAGAATCAGAATAGGTTTACTAACAATAAAACTACAAATCTAATCACTAAGACTAAAAATTAAATATATTATATTGCATTGCACAAATTGCATTAATTCATTAATTCAAATAGAAACTGGTAAACTATTTACATAACATTTAATTTTTAGCAAACAAAATTTTCCAGCTATAGAGTAAAAAGCAAACGTTACACTGAAATATTTTTCAAGTTTTATTAAAAGAACATTAATTAGAAATTAAAAGGACTATTACGTTGTGGCTGTGACCGTTTTGTCACACTCTATGTCAAACTGCCATCTTTCAACAACTTCATTAGTGGCAATATCCGTGATGACCAGCACCAGTTTTGCAACAGACAAATCAGTAAGCCATGCTATAAAATAAATAGTATTAAACACATGTACAAAATGTTTTTTTATTTTGGATAAGATATTTCCAGAGATACAGTTAACAAAATTATTTTTTCAGAAGTTCTGAAGCAGAATTAACTACAATTATAACAGTGTAATTTATCACCTTCATACATTTGTTAGGATCAATATTTTCCAACAAATATGATATTATTGATATTGGGATTTAATGATGTGTAAGATTATTTCTCCTCCGGCTCTAAGCATGGTAACTAGTTCTTTTGAAAAATACTCAGAAGAGACCTCGTTACACTGGAAGTTCCAAAAAAACGTACAATATAGTCTCAGATTAATACTTTACCATCTCAAAATCGCACAATTCCGCATTTTAATAGTAAATAAATAAAAAGACCTGATAATTTATACAATGACTATTTGTGTCGCATTCCTAAAAAAAGATCACTTCTCAAAGTAGATGACCGACATATATACAGTGCATTTTAGCAAATAAAAATGTGCTCATCATTTGCCACTTTGATAGATGAAGATGTTGGTGGAGGAGCAGAAAATGAGGACGACCACCCAAGTCGGCGGAACAAATTTGGGGGTGGGGTTTGGGAAGAATCTTTTTTATAAATTCAAATCGCATTGATGCATTTTTGCGTAGATCTGAATATAGGTTTGCATCATTCTAGATTTATTCGTAATCCTTGTGAAAAATTAGGCTCCCCTTACCCTAGCTTTGCTTACGTAAACCCTTTTTATTTTAATACCGGGTAGTTAATAAATAGTAAAATTGTTTTATGATTTATTTTGCAATCTATTTTTTTAAAATCAGTCTAAAATGGGAGGGGGGGGGGTCTCACCGAAATGGTGTGTGTATAGTGTATATGAATATTAAAAATTTGCATTTCTACCAAGAATTAAAATAATCGCTAGTTGAATGAAGAAATATGTACATTTGTGGTACATCAGGCGGGTCAGAACATGTCGGGCCACCCACCCATGCATTAAGCCTAGGAGCCTGATTTTATTTTCTGATAACATATCGTGGTCTAAAACTACCTCAAGCTGTAATGGGAGAGAAGTGATGGAACAAAACTGGGGTATTAAAATTTTACAGCTGCTTAGAGACTTCTAAAAATTAAATTTCAAATGCCCCTCACTATATGTTATAAAATAACTCAAAATCTAACACTGCTGCGCGGAGCAGTTAAGAATGAATTTTTTTAAAATATAAGTAGTCATGAAAAAGGAGCACTGCTTCCATGCCGATGGTATCATTTGATTATCATTCATGCGATGTGCACATACGACAATGGAGCCAACATCAAATGCCATATCTGATATGACAATCGGACATCTATATATAACAGTAAAAAAGTTTTAATAAAATTTTCCCACCTCATCCCGCACCCTGTCAACATAAGGAGTCACCCATATATCATATATGCACACATGCATTTGCCAGTGTGGGTGTTTTCTACCAGAATGTACCTAGATTTATACATAAGTTCTGCAATAATTATCCAGACTGTCGCTAACAGAGCCAATTGTCACCTAAAAATCTGATAAATCTATGATTTCTCATTAGGCCTATTAAGACTTTAAAAAGATCAAAATGTTTCACAATGCTTTGTGTTTATAATTAGTCTAGTAGCAACACACTGTAGTCTCCAAAGCTATAAAGGGTGTTTGGGGGAGTAGTATGGCCCTACCAAAACTTTGGTTGTAATAAAATTGCACAGTAAGGGGATAGAGGCTGCTTTGTAAGTTCTAAAAACAGATTTAAAATGCTGCTAACTAGATATTCTAAAACATTTTGAAATCCAACGTTCCTATGCAGAACAGTTTAAAATGCATTTTATAAAAAAACAACAAAAAATAACCATCCATATTTTTCTCAGTTTTCACAACTGCAGCGGATGAGACTAACCCAATAGGCTTAATTATGTCACAAAACTACAGCACACGCATGGTAGCAGACAAAAGACTATAGTAAAATAAACTTGTCGCAAGGGTGTCTAGGCTAAATGTTACTGCTGCCGCATCAAACTAGTCCATTGTGACACACAATGAACAATGACAAATAACCATCAGCATCATTACACCGAAAAGTTGCGGTTATATTTCTATAGCCTTTGACAATTAACCCTGTCCCCTACCCATGTGCCCTGTATGCCAAATCTCCTCAATCAACAACCTCCACCTCCCCTCTCAGTGCAAATGTAATTTAATTAAGGATGGTCTCAACATTTAAAAAATTAGAACCAATCATTCTTCTCCGTCCATTCACTTTCAGGTGTTTATAGAAAGGGCTAAAACTTCAAAATTTAATTTAAAAATTTTAATTAAAAAATTTTGTTATCAGAAAAATTCCTGAATATTTTTTAACCCGGTCTCTTAAAATCATAGTTCTGACGAGTTTTGGCGTACAGTCGTAACGACATCTCAAAATCGTACATTGTACACCAAATTCATAAGAGTAAACAGATCTGTCAGACATATCTTGGTATTGAAAGTCTAAAAAAAACTAAGTTTTATAAATATTTTTCTATCTGTTTTTAATCTAAGCTCATAATTATGATTACCAGTATCTATAATTTTGGGCATCCTACATTTGACAAGACTTAACCAAAATTACAAACAATAAAACCTACTTTTCAGTTGTGTAATGATTTTATCTAAGAAGGCCTGCAGCTCCTTATCACAAGTCACAAGCATGGTCACCCCCCACTGCTGGGTGTGAGTAAAGGTCTCTGGTGGATAAAGTCCTCGTTGATACAGGATACTATTTAAACCATAGTCTGCAAAGACAAAAAATCAATTTTTTTTTTAATCAACCAATACCCGTAAGCTAATACAAATTTCTCTCTAACTTATGTTTTTTTTTCTAAAATAAAATTAGAAGAACATGAAAATAAAAAAATATTTTTTTAAACAATATACATATATTTTTTAACCAACTGGCCCCTATTTGTTAAACATTGTTATAGTTATAGCTCACCCACTTTTACAAGAAGATCTTATTAGGGCTGTAGATATATTTTTTTAATATATTAAGACTTTTTTCTTAGCAAGGTCTGTCATGATTTATATTCATGCGTAAAACTTAATGTTATAATTTATCATAAGATGTTACTATCCAATTGCCTACTTTATAGTGATGCATTCCTCTTAAGCGTACTATACAAAATAATGAGTTCAGTGTGACAAATATTGCATTCAACATGATCATGCCACACATTGTTAGTATAGTTGACTAGATATTGGGATTTGAGAAACATCATTACTTGTTAAAATAGTAGCTGTGTGTGTAGGGAGGAGGTTAACAATATTAAATTACCAAGATTATCACTACCAGCACCTTAACAATAACTTATTTACAACTTAGAAGTGAATACTTTTTCAGTATTTTTCTCTAAGGTAAATATTAAGCAAACGTAAATTTTTTTATGGTAAGCTTAAAGCTTTGAAATTTAACAGCTTCTTTTAACTTTTTCCTATCTTGTTCTTGTCTATTCCCAAAATCCATGATCTTAAATTATGATAAAGATTCTTTAAAAATCTAAGCTTCAAAAAAAAAAAAAACACAAACAAATTGCGCAAGTAGAACCAAATATTTATAATTTGAACCAAAAATTGTATTTCAAATGATTTTTTTTTAAAAACACATCAGAGCTATTATATAGAACAATCAAACTCAAAACAAAAACATGGCAGATTTTTTTATCACTATTACCCAGTTCATATGGAAATGATCATGAAATCATCTCATATCCCTAGAGCAGGAGATACAGAGAAGGAATGGCCACCCACTGAAGAAAGAAACAAAATCCAATTTTACTTCAAGTACCAGGCGATTTCTTGCATGAAATCCTCATGTTTTGACAGATAATAGAGAGAAGAGCATTGAACACAAGGAGAAGGTATCTCTAAAGATGGAGAGAAGCAGAATGAGCTGTGACAATATTCGAGAACAGAGATAAGTGGCCAAAAGAATTTTGGTAATCATTGCTGATTGCTGTAACTGTAATGTCCTACGCATCAGTAGGAGGAGTAGATTCAGATAGGGCAAGCTAATTGGAACCAGGGCAAAGAAAACAGGAGACAGGCATAGCATTAAATAGTGGTGAGTAGTTTGTTGCAGCGAGAGGAAATTTAACATAGGTAATGGCATAAATAAATTGCCAATTAGATATTTGATTCATGCTCATAAATTTAAAAAAAACACAAAAAAAGTTTTTTTGCATTTATCATTTATATAGTATTTTTATCATTTTATTTCATATTAATTATTAATATTCTAAAGTTTCACCCGCTTTTACAACCCAATAGGTCAATTAGTCATCTGAAGATTTAGCTAGCCATAAACACAAGAACAAAAGCGAAGTTAATATAAAAGATTAAAAAATAATTGTGGCCCTAAAAAAGCATATGAAACCTTCAAACTATACCCTTGGGAACCTTTAATATTCCCATTTTCTTCACTTGCCTTAACCTGTGGCTGGTACTGTGTGGGACAATAATAATAATGTGTCTTGCGAAATGGATAAAACTCACCGACTGACTAGTGACTTAAACAAGTAGTAAGCTTACATACACTGTTCATACAGACTTCAAGGCCCAGAATTCACAAACCTTTATCAACCATTTTTTAATGAAAAATTCAAAGACCAATTTATTATTATTTTCTAAAGAGAAAAAAGCAACATAACTCAGCTAGTTATACATAGATATAAAATTCTTTATCACATCGAAGTATATACAATATATATAAAAATATTCAGTTTATCCTTGCAGAGATGTCCTTTAGTTATAGGAAACATAACACAAAAATATGTACAATGTAATATACAATTGATAAAGCTTAGTGATCTAAAGTAATTTCTTTGAATTAATCTATAAAACATAGTAATCATGATGAATGATCAGGCACAGATTAATAAGGAAATATCCTAGACAAAATATATTTTTCACTTTTTTTTCCTACTGTAGTCCCCCTCTTAAGATTTTGGAGGCAAAATTCAACAACTCTTTTCTTATGGGAACTCTATGAGGTCCCCCAGCAGTTCTGACTTGATCAAATATCAGCCATGTCAGTCATTGAGCACAAAGGCTCTCAATGCTTATATTTTTGACAATGACCTCTTTATTCACAGAGAACCATCTTTCTACAATAAACCACAGCTCAGAAAACTCATTGTGGAAAGCTGACAAATTCATTAACCCTGCTTTCAGAAGGAGTGCAAGTTCCATTGAATTGGCTATGATGATGGACTCAACTTATTTTTCATTCTGAGCCAATATGGGGGTGGCACTTCTGCTCTTCAACTCATTTTGCTTCACAGATCTCTCTGAGGACTCTGGTCAATTAAGCTTTTCCGTTCAGCTTGTCTTTTTCAGACATCATGAGCCTTGGGTCCAGCTAGGAGATATTTCTCACTAAAGGTAAATGGTAGGAGATTTTTCCATGATCTTTTAATGATCTTTCTTGCACTCTGATCTAAAACTGAATTTTTGTCTGAAAGGTCTTTGTTTAGCAAAAGCTTGAAAGCAGAAAATCCAACATGTATATTGATGGTGTCCATGTCATTATTTTTCTCTAAAAAAAGTTTAATACTGGGTATATATTAACTCTGGTTTGATAAACCTTGACATAAGAGACTGAACCAAGCCTTCCAGGTCTGTTGCCATAAATGTCAGTTAACGGTTGTTGGCCTAGGTCCATTTTTTAACTATGTACACCTCTGCGGTGTACACAGCCAATTTGTAATTATAAATTGTAACTTATCTAACAAAGCACTATGTATATCAGTATCAGTAAATTTAATATAATATTAACCCACGAACTGTCACCAGCAAATTGAAGCTGAACAATGAGAAAACAGGAGCACTTCTCATTCAAAATCACGAATCATTCTCTAAAACTCAGCTTTCACCACCTCGTTTCAAGTAGGTAGCTCTGACATCCTCTGCTGGGAATCTTGGTTACATTCTTTCTGACATTATGTCTCTCAATATTCATGTTTCTCACATTTGTTGCTCTGTGAACACCAAAATCCGTCAGATCAGCTCCAATCTCCACTACTTCACAGTAAGCGCAACAAAAACCCTAGTCTGTACTCTTTTGTCTGACTATTGCACCTCTCATCTGTGAGGTTCACCAAAATACTTCATAGAAAAACTGCAAAAAGTTCAAAACTCTACTGCTAGGTTAGTTCTAAAGGCAAAGAAACGTGATCACGCCATTCACTCAACCATTTAACTCACTTCATTGATTACAAGCTGTCTGTTCTCTGACACAACTTTTTCTCTGGTTCCTGCCCTTCCTATCTTACTTGACTTCTTTCTGTCTATTCATCCATTGTCCATTGGACAGCTTTGTTCCTCCACAGACATGCGTATTCTTTCTGTTCCCAATACACACACTAAAACATATGTTGAACTATCTTTCTCTTTCTGCGCCAAACAATGGTACTATCTCCCATTAAACATCCGTAATATACCGACCATCCAAGCCTTCAAAAGTGCACAAGACACATCTCTTCAAACTCTACTATTCCGACTCATTCTCACCCCACTCTGGCCGATAAACAATGCTCAATGCTGCTGGGTGCCGTCCATGCCCAGACAGGGGTCAATAATAATTTTATGTAACTGTTTTTTAATGGCAAAGTCATGTTTCTTTTTTTCTTTTTGCTAATTTTTGTGTGAAGCACGGTGAGTCTAGCCCTAGGCTGAGGTACTGCGCTATATAAGACCACTTTAAGTTAGATAAATATATTTTACAAAGAATTAATATTAAAGATATAAAATTTGAAATTCATACAAAATTTTATAGAGAAAGATGTCATATATATCCATGAAATTCAACTTTAAAAATTTTTTTAATGCGAGTGTCAATTCATTAATAAATGAGTACTTTTGACATCTAATTCAGTTCCGCTACCGCCTTGTCCCTTTGGAAGACATACTGTCCAACATTTCCATCAAGCTATTTCTTTTTTTCATTCCACCTTTATTTTGAAAATCTATGGTATATATAAGGTATCTTCGCATCTTGAAATTCAAAGAAAAGGTCTTTTATATTAAAAAGTGAAAAGCATTGTATATTGATTTATATGAGTGCCAATTCTCATTGATGTAGGTCATGTCCGACGTTCGTTACGCTTGTCCCTGTAACCTGCATTAATGTAAGGTCGCTCAGCCTAATTTCGACATGGCGTGGCCATGCCCCCTTTTTAATGGCGGAGATACCGATACTTAGGAAATATTTAATTATTACCACGCAGAATTCAAGGTCCAGAATTCACTAACGTTTCCCAAACCTTCAAAGACCATTATTTTAAAATTCAAAGAACTATTTATTATCATATACGGTACTGGTACCACTAAAGAGAAAAACAACAACCAAACTCACATAATATTAGCACAGATTCAAAATTCTTTATAACACTTAAATATATACAATATATACATATTATTCAGCTTATCCACGTAAAGAAATCCTTTAATTTCAGAATATAAACACAATGTAAGTAGAATCAAGTGGTATATACACTTGAATCAGCCTAATGTTCAAATGTAATTTTTTTTTTTTTTTTAATTAATAGTTAAAACATCGTTATGATGAATCATCAGCTACAGATCAATGAGTAAATATCCTAGACAAAATATTTAAAATGTCCTGACTGTCCAGTAGTATCCAGAGGCTTTGAAAAATGTCCAGTTCACTGCAGGGCCATCCATAGTCAATTGTAAAAATTCCCTTTGTCCAAGGTCTGTGATAATCGGACGGATTTTTTCTAACATGCTTTCAGCAGTGGCATGTCTAAGAAAATGAGAGGAATGGAGAAATGAACTGACTTTATTTACATCCCAGATGCGAAAATAAATAGCCATTTGCTTGTCAATAAAATGTCTCCAATAAGGGTTTCATATATTGACACATACATTGGGAGCGTGACTGAGAAGTTGCAGAACTGGACACCTAAGATAGGTGATAAAGATGAAGTCTCATCAGATGATTGACATTTTTTAATATTTTTGCCTTGAATACTTGATATCAATATTTCCAGCATAGTGAAGCAGTAATGATTTGTTCAACTCTGTGTTGGGCATTATTTTATTGAGCCTTGATCCTGAATGGTGAAACAAAAATAAAATGTGAAAAAAAAAATATATATATATTAACATATGAATATTATGTTTATAATTAACAATAATCAATAAGGCATACATTATATAGACTATATTATACCAGTACTAAACTACAGTAATATAGAGTCAGAAGAGATACTACTAAGATATGCATATGAAACGGCAGTCAGGATTTTCCGCAGGGGAATGCATCATTGACCACCCCCACCCCCCAATAAATAAATAAAATAAAAATGTGCTGACGAATAATAATATTGTATAATACCGTGAAATATACCCAGAGCATGGGAGTGCATAATATAAATAAGGACTAAGTAACTATATAGGCTACAGTTATGTTAGGCTCACTGAATCGATGTATCAAATCAAACTGTTTTAGTTTTATTTTATGAACTTTTAAATGAATTTCCGAAGTCAGCCGTAAACTAGCTAACTAATCTACGCAAAAATATCAATACAAAATAACTTGATCATATTAGCCTATTTAAAATTAGAACGCCTAATCCATAATTAAGTGTAAAGTGAAAGTAAAGTCATTTTTTTTTAAAAAAAAGGTTAAAGGCTGCCTTGAGATAATAAAAGAAAATACATATCGCCCACCTATGGTAAAACAGTTTAAAATCAACTTTTGAAGACTACGACATAAAGTACGCTAAGCTTAGTCATTGTAGACAGCGCTTGGGTGAGTAGTTTTCTATTTATAATGGTTACCTCACAATTGAAAACTAGGTTCAAATAATTTTTTGCTATATTTTACACTTTACTTACCCAAACAGACAAACATCTCTTGATCGGCGATGTGAGCACAAATTAAATATTTCTGGTGTATCGAAGTTGTACGGTATAAAACTTGTAGAGATAAAAACGCATGCGCAGTTAAATTAAAGGGAAACCACTGGCATTTCGCAAAGCTCTTTTGATAACAGAAAGGCTAAAAATAGACGAGATTGGAGATTTACGTCAATTGTATTGGAATCAAAAGCCAAATTTATTATTATTTTTTACAAATTAAAAAAATTACAGACTATCCGGAAAATTTCCTTACTAAAAGGCCCATCTTCCTGGTTTTCACGACCGGAAAAATTATTCAATAAATTCTCGACTATTTCCCAATTTCCCAGACTGATAGTAATGGTACTGATAGCTTACTCGTTAAGAGTAATTTGATTGGCTTAAACAAATCTACCGACCAATGAACTTATATTTTTCTTGCAGGGTTACGGATCATTCAGAAATGCGCACTGTGCATGTCAGTAAAATTGGAAACATGTTTTTCCTTTTGAATTCTTAAAAATCATTTTTCCCAAACTTCAAAGACCGTGATGTTTTTTGCCAATTTTCCCAAAATTTCCGGGCTCTGAAATTTTTAAAATATTTTTCCCAAACCTTCAAAGACCGTGCGAACCCTGTACATCAAAATATTTGATAACTTATGTTTCAGAACGAACTTAAATGTTATTGAAAGAATAGATCTAATATTTTAATTTGAGGTTAAAAAAACCCTGGTAGAGTCCATATTATAAATGATCATAATTTGATGTGTGAAAAATGTCATGACCATGGACAGCCATTCAGTCACTTGCATAATGGCTATACAGTACTATCTCAGAGTTTTCATTCATAAAAGTTTGCAGTGTGTGCAAAAGCTATTTGACCAAGTCAGGGAAAGCTTTAATTAATTAGTCATGTGCTAAAGTTGAAAGTTCAAAATAAGTAGCTCCCAAACAGTAATAAGGGGATGCGTTGCCTTATCTTATATAGATTATATTGCATACTAGTATAATGGACGCCGTAGATTTGGTAAACAGAAAAGCCATATATCAAAACATTATATAAAATTTACTGATATACATAGTGCATTGTTAGATTAAGCTACAATCTATCTATACTATAATTGTATAACATTATTAAAGTTATTTTTTAATACAGCATTAGTTCTGAAAATAATCATATAAAATTATTAAAACGAGTTATAAAGCTTGTGACGTGAACAGCAGAATTGAGCCACAGAATGTGGAGATGTGGTCCATGTTTAAAAAGGACAAACGAAGTCATACTTTATTATACTTAATAAAAATTCATAACTTTAAAACTACAACAGCTAAAAATATGATTTTGGACATTTTGGTGTTATATTCTGGAAAAAAATTAGCTCAAATTCAACTATAACATTCTTTTGTTTATTTTTACTAAAAAAATTAATTTTCTATCAAAGTCCCTAATGACCTAATGATGGAAATGTAGGTCAAGATATCCACTACTGACTGAATGGTCCATGGATGAATACCACAATTTTATGACTAAATCAAACCATCAATGAAAAAGCACTGACCTCCAATAATTAAAAACTCAGATTCTTCAGCACCGATTCCTCCAGATAAATTTGAAAGTAGACTCCCTTGTCTTACCAAAGTATCTATTCATAGTATCATAGCTTAAAAAGTACTTAAGTAAAGTCTAAATCTAAATACTAGAAAGTTGGGCCAATTCTTAGAGATCATCCCGTGACGTCATTGGGTGTTTATTATAGTTGCAGTGAATAAGGGTTTCAAGTTAGGTTTAGGGATACATTTAGTTTACGCTTAGTAAAAGAATTACTGTTTGTGTCAACCAAGATGCCATCGCGGGACGATCTCTAATAATAGATACTTCGATCAAACAAGGGAGACTACTACTTTTTGTGTATCGGAAATGGGCGTCGGCGCCGAAAAATCAGAGTTTTTAATTTTCCGATGTGTGTGTCTATTTAGTATTAAATTAGTTCTTTCGACATATATTTGAGTTCCGTTTCCGGCCTTATAATTTGAAAGACATCTTGGCCTACATTTCTAGCCAGCTATTTTGCTTTTTTAAATCGACCTTTATTTTGAAAATCTTTGGTACATATAAGGCATCTTCGCATACAAAATTTTTTGTGAAATAATAGGATAAGGCCCTTTTTGATTAAATCTGTATAACCATTAGATATTGATCTATATCTGTGCCAAGTTTCATTGATGTAGGTCGTGTCCCACGTTCGTTACGCTTCTCCCAGTGATCCATATCACCATAAGGTGGCTCAGCCTAATTTCGACATGGCGTGGGCCACGCCCCCTTTTTAATGGTGGAAGTTGCCAATATTTAGGAAATATTTAATTATTACCACTATATATTTTATATTTTGTGTTTCAGAATGCATTTTGAAGACATTTAAACTGGAATGTTTTAATTTGAGCTTTAAAAACCCTGTAGAGTCCATATTATAAATGATCAGAATTTTCCCTGTGCAACACGTCATTGGCAAACATTCACAGCCACTTGCATAATGGCTATATCGTAGTACTATCTCAGAGTTTCATTCATAAGAGTTTGCTGTGTGCAAAAACTATTAAACCATTGGTCAGGGAAAGCTTTAATTAATTATTCATGTGCCAAAGTTAAAAATAAGTTGACCCTAAACAGTATTTTAGTGATAAGGGAATGCGTTGCCTTATATAAATTATACAGTCATTGCGCATGACCCGATCAGCGGAATGAGGTCACAGAATGTGGAGATGCAGTCCATGTTAAAAATAGACAAACCAAGTCGTACTTTAAAAATAAAATTCATAACTTTAAAACTACTACAGCTAAAAATATGATTTTGGTGTTATAATTCTGTAAAAAAAAATTAGCTCTATTCAACTATGCCATTGGTTTATTTTTACAAAATGTTTAAATTTTTTACCAAACTATCTACTAATAATTTACTGAAAGTTGATTCTGGTTTCATTTTCTAACTAAAATTTGGAATTCGCTCCTCTAGGCTAATATTTTTATAATTTTGTACCTAAATAAATTCAAAACGTGTACAATAGATCCGGCAACGGCAAGTATATCATATAAATAAAATAACATGATCAATCAATAAAATCAATTCAATGAATGATTGTCACTGACTGACTGACAGGTCAATAGTCACTCTCACTCAGTTGTGACAAGTGACAGTGGACTGAGTGGATGCCCACTATCACTCACATTGCACTAGTACTGAGTGAATCGCTGTCTGAGTCAAAACGATAGATTTTCATTGCAAGAGGACCAGAATCTTAAATATGTTTTCTGAACAAATTGGTCTTACTAAAAAATTCTGCAACTATATCTGTAGATCCTTTAAGTGTTATAACATTGCTTGTTGATGTCGCCATTTTCAAACTCCCGCGATGAACTGAACAGAAGTCAGTCAGACTCAGTGCTGCCACTCACTTTTTTAAAATTTCCCAAGATTTGGTGAGCGAATTTCCCAAGAATTCCCAAGATCATAAAAATGTATGAGAGTTTTTTTTAAAAGTGTGGTTTTCTATGTAATTAATGTAATAATAGATTGAATTAATGCCCCTGAAAAACATGGTACATTAATTGACTGAAATTTTTGAAAAAGACATTTAAAAAATGTTTATCACATAAAAGAAACAAACAATTTGTTTAAAAAATAATAATTTATAATCCAAAATATCAATACCCACTGGAGTTAGGCTACTAAATATTACCTCCGAATTCTCTGGTAAAAATATCATCTACAATACATTTGTAATAGAAGTCACTTGGAAACAAAGCTTACAAGGCTAATCAACACAGAATTCCTTTTACAAGGGCAAAAGGTTCTTGATCAAAAAATGAATTTTATTATTGTATGTCTGTTGATTAGAAGTGGGGTTCGCAAAATTTATTAATAATAATTGTTGTTAAAATGGATTGATATTATGATGAAAACAATAATTATTTTTATTTTTTCTTGTAAATATACATTATAACGATTTTTTCAAACAAACAAAAA